TCCTCCCCTTTTCTCCTCGAGTTTTCTCTGCTGTCCCTCTTGAGGAGGTGTCTGTGGCTCATCTGAGATAAATACTGCCGGGCAAATGACACCAACTTCATCGCTTTTGTCTGGTTCTTTTCCTCAGTCATGAATTTGTCCTCTTGCTACAGCTCCCCCTCACAGGAACTTCTTTACAAGGAATCCTCCGGTGCTTGGCAGCACTCGGCCCTGTCTTTCTCCTCCACTCCTGGGTAGGCCTTGCTGGTCACAAGTACGAGGGTGTGAAGAGATTGGCACCCTCAGCACGTCTTTCAGGCTGCTCATTCTAGTTAACACCTACTTCACCGCAGATCCTAAGGTTGGAATGCACAGCCACGGGTCGGTGGGCAGGAGTGGAGTGTAGCTGGCTAAACACACATACCCCTGAGGTAGGGAGTTAGGGATGAGGGGGTAGAGGGAGGACAAGAGTAAAGCCTGAGAGGGAGCCTTCAGCGGTCCAGCACGGAGCCCACCTTCCACCTCACTCAACAGCAGTGCTTAACTCCAGCCCTGAGAAGGTGCTGGACACCCGCTGCCTCAGCGAGAGAACAGCAGTGACCCTGGGATTCTGTATGACGGACCATTCCAGACCAGTTGGTTTCTGCACAGAAGCTTCCACCACGCAGCAGCTGGCCCGCGCCTCGCAGCAAACGTGTTGGGAATACAGAGAAGATGCTCCTTCTCCCGTCCGTCTCACAGCAACGTCTGCCCTCACCTCTTGTTTTTAACAGGTTTTCCAGGTCGTTCCGCGCTTACCAGACGTGCCTTGTGCCACACGCAGCCTTTTGGCTGTGTTTCCTCACCACATCCGCATTTTGACGCACAGCTTGCTAGCCTGGATACCTGCAGAAATGCCCAAAACCATATTCTGGTGAAATCTCACTTTCCAACCCCAGACCCATCGCATGTCTGTGACCTGCCACCACCTCCTTAGTGTTTTCTCCACCATTGCTGCCCTCTCGGTTACATCGTTTGAACTCTCTGCTGTTCAGATGCCTTCCCGTTCCCTGAGCCTGAAACACTACAGGCTGCTCTTCCCTCTGACCCACCCACGCGTACCCTACATGCAATCCTTTTCCTGCCCTGATCTGTCATCAACACGGGCTGCGTCAGCGTTGCACTTGGCGAGGAACTGCCACCAGTTTCGAAAGCTCATTACTGCTTCCCAACATTTTCCTGTGCCTACCCTTCCGCTCCCTGCTAAACAAGAAGCGGTTGCTTTGTTTTTCCCTGCTCGCAGCACCGGCAGAACAGCTCCAGTATCGTTTTATGTCTGTAAAACACGTTTCTCTCTCACAACTCGCTCTCTTCATCAGGTTTTAAACTCCAAGAAACTCCTTGCAGTTGTGACATTTCGAAGCGTCTCTGATGGTGACAATGATGCCTGAAAGCAGCAGCCTAGCCTCTGCTGGGAGGGGTGCGGTAAGTGCTTAGTAGGCACAACATCGGACAGCAGATACCGCAGTTCAGCTCCCGACTGTGATTCTGTTAAATAATCAGCACTGCTCTGGGCAGGGCTAATGCTGTTTGTGCCACGGGCTTATTATTTTTCACGATATGTTAAAGAAAAAAAGGGTGTGGCCTGTCTGGAACGGTCAAGGCTTCATCCTCACTATCAGCAATTTATAACCCAGGATTTACAACAGACTTTTCCGCACTGCAGTTCTGAGGAGACGGACTTACGGGTACTGGTGGATGAAAAGCTGGACATGAGCCGGCAGTGTGCGCTGGCAGCCCAGAAAGCCAACCGTATCCTGGGCTGTATCCAGAGAAGTGTGGCCAGCAGGTCGAGGGAGGAGATTCTGCCCCTCTGCTCTGCTCTGGTGAGACCCCACCTGGAGTGCTGCGTCCAGCTGTGGAGCCCTCAATATCAGAAGGATATTGACCACTTGGAGCGAGTCCAGAGGAGGCCACGAAGATGCTCAGAGGGCTGGAGCCCCTCTGCTATGGGGACAGGCTGAGAGAGTTGGGCTTGTTCAGCCTGGAGAAGAGAAGGCTCCGGGGAGACCTTGGACCTACAAGGAAGCTGGGGGGGACTTTTTACAAGGGCCTGTAGCAACAGGACAAGGGGTAATGGGTTTAAATTGAAAGTGGGGAGGTTTAGATTAGATATCAGGAAGAAGTTCTTCCCGGAGAGGGTGGTGAGGCACTGGAACAGGTTTCCCAGAGAAGCTGTGGATGCCCCATCCCTGGAAGTGTTCAAGGCCAGGCTGGATGACGCTTTGAGCAACCTGGTCTAGTGGAAGGTGTCCCTGCCCATGGCAGGGGGGTTGGCACTAGATGATCTTTAAGGTCCCTTCCCACACAAACCATTCTGTGATTCTATGATTGTGTACTGCTCCTTCCTAATTTGGAGACCCCTATGGAATCATGTTTACAGCGGTGAATCTCCACTAAAGGTAACTCAAGGCATCTTTGCTGGCTGAAAGCACCAGCCCAACAAACACGGGTGACATGGCCACCCACGCACTCTTCCAAACCAACAGAGCCCATGTGCCAGGATGAGCGAGTTTAAACTGCTGGCCCATTCTTTTCCTGACTGTTCTTTCTCTAGGACGTCAGCAAAGCCCCAGCTCAAACCAAACACGGTCACTGGACCACGCAGCGGCATCAGCGCACGGAAGGGAGAAGGCGGGATCTCCTGCAGCTTCGCTCCAAGGGCAGTGGCTGATTTTGCTAGTCAGCATGATGCACCCTGCTGGCTTTCAGTCTAAAGCTCAAACCATGATCAGCTTCAACTTCGGACTCTGTTGAAGGCAGATTCTCATCAAGGAAAACAAGGACTAGGTTCCAGACCCAGCAGTGCCCAAGAACAAGCAGGTAGTTGTGACTTACATAGGCCTTTGTGCATCAAGTGAAGAAGCACCCTGAAGTACTCACTGCCTCGAGGCAGAAGTTTCTTGGCAGATTCAGCTTTCCCCACTGCCATACAGCAGCAAATTACACCCTTGTAACAGTCACCCACTCTCTCTGTGCTCACTACTCTCCAGTTACGGGTGATGTCTTACATTCACAGAGAATCTGAGAATCCATCACAAAGAATGACATCGGGTCATTAGTCCTTTTCTAAAAATGCAGAATTTGAATAAACAGTATTCACAAGCGTGGCGTATCACCATGACAGCAGGCTGCAAACGGTTTAGCCTCCCTCTTGCCAACAGAAACTCCAGTTTCTCGTAAAACAATAAGACCCCGAGCCAAAAGTTCAGAATAACGTTGTGATCTGTCCAGTGATGTTACTTGGTTCAACTTGTGGTTGTAGCTCCCACACCAGTTGTGCCCAAGTTGCTTTTCGTTCAGGTGAGTTTCTTCTCTGTCACAGTCGCAGGCCCGTCGGTCGTTCCTGAACACTTGGCATCTATTCATAACTCATTTTTAACACCAAGAAACATGGCATCTTCATGCACTACTACTGTAAAAGCTTATTAACACAGGCAAAGGATTACGTCACGTTTCTAGCATGGTATTTAGTATGAGGAAGCGTTGGGGTTAACACAATTCAAGCCTATTAAAAAAAACCCCTAAAACAAACCCTGCAGGTGTAATTAAGTCATCACAAAGCCTTTCCAGTTCTCCTAAGGCCAGCAGCAGTTACTGCACGCTCACACTGCTCTACAGGTATCTAGGTTTGTGACTGACAACTGTAATATTTGAGACTGCCTACATTTTAAGACATTATTTGAAGGTATTTGGACATACAGGTATATGAAGGATGCGCACCAGTTCTCCAAGGTTCAGTCTGACCCTGCACCATCTGCCTCTGCAAAGCAGACTTAAGGCTGGGCAACACATTTCTTACTGTTTTGTGGAAAAAGAACAGTAACTGAGTATTTATTCAAATATTAGTCCTCTGTGACAGGTATTCACTAGGATTCTCACCCAATCACCTTCCAAAAAGAGGGACGATATCGTATCGTTTGGGTTATCAATCTCACTCCCTGTGTGGTTAGGCTGAACTATTCTTCTTTAGCAAAGCCAACTGCTGAATCTTATGCTGAAGGTCTAGGCCTATGCCTGCAGGACCGCTGCTGTCCTTTCCTCATCATTTGCACTACTGGTGTAACAATACCACACCAAAAATCATCATCTATTTAGCAGACTAAATATTTAAAAGTAGAACCTGGATGTATGTCATGTCTATCAATTCATAAGCTGTAACTTAGAAAGGTGATGTGACCAGGCACTTCCAAAAGATCAAAATTGAACATGAAGCTTCATAGTGCAACAAGTGCCATTACAAACATTATCACATTAATCGCTCATCACACAACTGGTGTCTCAGACTGAGCATATAAAATATACAGGTATCACACTGCTTGCCATCAAGGCGATGTTTTAATTCCTTCCTATTTCAGATCACTCTATTCATCCTCAAATCCATCTAAGAAGGCTCATCAACCTAGAAAGCTTTAGTTTTAGCATCTCTGCAGCCCGTGGAATCAGAACAGAAGTAGACCAGAGAAGAGAGAACTGGCTGCTGTACAGCTTGCAGTCTCCCCAACTCAAGCTACCGCAACAGAGGCGGAACCGGTCACTTTGGAGCTTCACCCTACACCACCAGGAAGGTTTTGGAAAAACCAAGAGATCCACAGTATGGATGGGTGGGGTTATATCTCTTCAGAAAATCTATGCTTGCACGTCAATCTCAAGGTCTCAACTACATTAAGAACGTGCACCATAAACTCTTCCATAGCAATAATGCTTAACCAAAGAAAAAGGTTTCATTAAAAAATATTTTATTAGGAAAAAAAAAACCCACCAAACCCAACCAAAGTTATTCAATAAGGAACTGTACAAAACACATTTCTTTGGTTGATTTGTGAAAGTTACCGTAATTCCTTTAGCTACCCACGTACGTGCAAGGGACTGTTCTTAAATTAAAGAATTTATGTACACAACAAATTTGGCTGCTGCTGCTTGGCAATTACCAGGCAATCACCTTCTCAAGGGATGTTTGTTTGAGACTGCACACCTGACTTACGGAAGAACTCAAAACTGATCAGAAGAGTGCTGGTGGAAGACCGCTGCCGAAAAGTAAGCGCCAAGAACTTGGTATTTTCCACTGCGAAGAAGCATCTGTGGAATTGTTGCTCTGCAAGAAAAACAGAATAATTCTTCAAGCTTTAAATAATAAAGACGTAATTCTCTCTCTGGCACAGGCATTGAACTAATGGGCAGCATTCAAGTGGCAGTATCACTGTGGGCTGGTTTAGAGAAGAGTACTGCAAGATCAAACTCGATCAAAACTTCACGCTATTTCCCCCCCCCCAAGTCAAACAAATGGAGTGGGGTGCAGGTTTGGCTTTTTGGGTGGGGAATTTCCCAGTGAGGATTTAATCGAAACGTTTCTTTGATGTGGTGTATCCTTGATGACCAAGGGTCAAAATGAACCCAACTCGTACCCTTTTTAACTTTTCTAAAATTCAGCCGAGTAACTTTTTTTTTTTTTAAATCTTCTGGATTGAAGGAAAATGAAAATAAGAGATATAAAACACAAAAGCAAGAACTCTAGGTCAAACAGCACTTACTTCGCTTCTAATTAGCTGAAGCCATTCATTAAGATAGTTCACCAGAGCAAACGCATCCGGGATGTTGTCCCCCTCTGAGCAGAACTTCAGAAGAACTGCCATTTGGATTCCCTTTGAACAGCTGCAACAAAAACGAGCACACATTTCTGTTTCTTCCCTAAAGCCAGAACAGCTGTATTTACGTATGAAGAGCAACAGCAATCTGCATATGGCTTATTAAGAAAAAGCCAAACAAGAAGTAAAAATATACAGACATTTTTTCCCCTCCAGACTTCCTTGATTGCATTTTCACACTTCATGTTCTTTTCCTTAGTCTGGGATTTGTCCTTCGCTTTGTGAGGCAGGAATCCTAGGTCACGGAAGAGTTACTCAGGGCCTCTTTTACAGGCTGTGTTTGCATTTTTGTGCTGGCAGGGCATTTACACAGATCCTTTGATGCAATCACTCCTTATCTTCTGTGTATTTCCAACAGCAGTTTCACAAGCTGCGTAACACTACTTTACTCACAATATTCCCATTTTATCACTGTTTGCTGGCCTGGAAATCTTAACTCATTTTTAATGCTGAGAGTTGGGGTTTTTTTTTACTGCTGATGGATCTATTTGTCACAGGAAACAATTTTAGTTAAAGTATCACAGGTACAGGAATTTTACTACTTACAAATGACAGTTTGCATAAAATCAGATACCAGATTAATGACAATCTTAACTGTAAAGGCTAAATCTTCCTTCCCTTAGCCCAATCATTTCTATTTTTATTGCATTTTAACTTTGTGACACAGATTTTTCTGGTTTTCCCTCTTATTTATAGGCTTGATCTCGAAGAAGTTCTGTTCCTATAAAACCCTTTTCTATGAAAAGGGGGACTTTTTTTCCTGTAATGCAATGGTTTAAAAGCTAATTTTACTCATGTACTGAAACCAAGATTTCTGGTATCTTTCTCTGCTTATCTTTGGGCAACTCACCTCTCAGTAAACAAGAGTTTTGTGATGCCACCTCCAGGAATATGGAGAACTTTTTCTGTGTCACGTATTCCTGGGTAAGCTGCCACTTTTTCCATTTCTTTCCAGTTCAGCTCCTGCATAAGCCCTCCAACTGCTTTCTCAAGATCGGGTGTAAGTAGGTAGCGTAGTGGTGTCCTAGAAACAAGTCAGGAACACATTCAGTCTGACAATGAAAGACACTACCGACGTTATTACTTGAGACAGGAAGAAGCTGCAAGCAGCGAGGACCTCGCGCTGGCAATGGAGAATTGCACTGACACTCCCTTCCTCCTTAAACCCAAGTTAAAAAGTAGTCTGTGGCCTCAAACTAGTATAAACTATGCAACTTTCTGCCACAAACAGAACTAAGGTACCCTCTTTTTAGGGGCTCAAATAACTGGCAAGTACGAGATACATAAGCACATAAATAGAACTGCTTATGGTCATTAAGAAGATGTACAAATAAAATGTGCTCGTTCTTCCTTCAGATCGGAGGTGATTAAAGTACACCTAAACTTGGACTTCGCTGGGATTGAGTATTTTTAATAAGCTCACACTACAAATACATGCAGACTTTGGTCAAGTCCAAGTATTTTCTGAAAGCACTACCCTCACTCTTTAGTAGATCTGCTACAAGAGAGTTACTCTCTGGAGCTGAGGAGAGGGGGGTAAACCACCACAACTTAGGGCTCGGAACACATCAAATAACCATCAGCCTCCCTCACTTCATTCCACATTAGCTGGCCATTCTGCAACACTACGCAGGCATGACAAGTAACTACATCTGGGATGTGCACGGGCCTAAACCTCCTTTAAGGCTCTACACATTTATACAGCCCGAGGATAACAAATGGGCTTTTGTAAATATACTGATTTCTTTTTAATTACCAATTGTGATGCCCTCAATCAACAAGTAATGCTTGTTTGTTAAAGGGGAAAGAACTAATAAAAATACATACGGTCTGGACCTTGTAGTTGCCTCCCAAAAAATAAGAATTGGCAACTACCTATTGAAAAAAGACTGCCAACTTACTATATGAAAGAAAAAATTCAAAATGCAGAATAATGAAGAAGAGGTAAGAAACCAGCCAATATCCTAATTAAGTGTTAAAAATCTCATCTGTGAGCTGTATGTTAGCAGCTAATCCCTGAAACTGCTTGCAGCCACAAGAAATTAAGAAAACTGAGGCTCTGTTGCCCAACGGTGCAGGCCAAGTGCAATTTACTTACAGCTTACTATTTGCTTAGTACTTCTGACAGTAGTAACTAACGAAGCCCAGAGACCAATCCAGTGTAACGCAGTGTTTTAAAATTAGTTCTTTTAATGACACAAACATACCCAAGAAGTTGCTCGTCATCACGCTGGTACGCATGGCTGCTAGACAGGAGAACAACTCTGGCACATTTGCTGCTTTCCACCCAAGACAGCAGTGTTTGACAGAATGGCCTGTACTTGTTCTTTGTGCAAAGACAGGGGGGAAGAAAAAAAAAAGCAGTGAAAAATATATTGTGTCCTTAAAAAACACAACCCAAAAGCCAACAATACTAGGGGTTACATAGAATGGTTAGCAGTCGTGTAAATCTTACTTCGTATCCATTTAGTCTGCAGCTTAAGACAGGTTTTTTAAAAGCAGAGGACTGCTCTGGTTGTTTACCTGATCAACACTACACATCCAGTGACAGAAGTTATCATCAAGACCACATTAACAACAGCAGTACCACCTGTTTTGTGTGCCATTAGTATCAATGGAAAAAGCTGCAGAGTAAGATGGGATGGTAGGATCACACAGTAGTTTCCTGCACTTTGAACTGCTAAAAGCTGCAGCACCATTTTTTTTGTGGTGTGGTGTGCTGCTGATTTTAAATTACAGCTACTGTCCAATTAATGAGTAATTCTAAATTCTTTGGGTTTTTTTTCAAATTGATTCAGTTCAAATTAATACATAATACTATGAAATAATTAAGTTGGAGTGATGTAAAAAAATTAAGCTATTACAATAAAAGACAAACACACAAAGACAGTAAGTATAAATTAAAAAAAAAAAAACAAAACCAAAAAAAACCCCAAACAAAAAACCCACACCAGAAACAAAACCCAACCCGTTTTATGTTTTCCAGACGTTAATAACTCAGGACATATTTACACTAAAATGTACCAACGTAGGTGCGTTGTTCTGAGGTTTGAAAAACATAACAAAACTTCAATTCATAATGGATGCAGAAGTTGGTTTTGTAGCTAAAATTGTATCAAATGCAGAAGGTAGTATAGCACAAAGTAGGAAAATATTTTGCTCTCTTTGAGACTGTTTTGTGGTTTGCCTTTCATTTTTTTTAACAAAATATTTTATAATGTGGCATAGTTCTAGATTTGCTAATTTAGTCTCTTTGATTGTCTTAAAATTTACCTAGGCCACTTAAATCTACTTGCCAGCAGAACTATTCAAATGGAATAGTGAAGTAGGAACCACCAATGAACATACATACCTTTATAAAAGGTGATCTGATCTGCAGAACTACAAGTTTCTTTGAAGGTAATGAATACACTATAAGAAGAAATAAGTTTTGTAAGAAGAAAGCAAGAGGAGATTTGGGCTTAGAAGTATCTAGATTTATCAGATTTACAAAGCTGAGGATAGTTAACCTTTCAGCTATTGATTCATATAGGAAGGGCTGACAATATCCACAGTGTTAAAAATACGTATTTTTGTGTCACTGGACTTAATTTCACTTGTCAAATTCAAAAGACTGAGTGAAGTAAAATACACAAAGACGTGCCTCCCATAACGATTCAAATGATCTCTTTATGCTGCTTTGCAAAGACTATGGCAGATTATTCTGGTATTTCCATGATTTTTGGGTGGAGGGTGGGCGGGGAGGAGAAGATAAAATGCAATGGTCAATATACAGGAAGAACCTAAGAATTTGAAGGGGGGAGGGGGAGAAATAGTAAATCAGGAGGGAAGGCGGGGAGGAGAAGATAAAATGCAATGGTCAATATACAGGAAGAACCTAAGAATTTGAAGGGGGAGAAATAGTAAATCAGGAAAAGGGAGGGAAGGAGGATAAATATCTTTTTACACCAGAAATTCAGCTTGCGTTCTAGCAGAGTACTGCAAGTATGTGCACACTTCGTACGTACGTGCACTTCAATTAAACCTGCAGAGAGTTTTGGGTGCACTGTGATATGGTTGAAAGTCACATTTCTCAGTGGTTCCACATGTGAAATCAGTTATCCAAAACAGCAACAGTAACAGTTCTTCTGTGAAGCGCACATACATTCTTACCTGTAAGTTACTGAAGTTATTACTGACCTTACTTTAAACACTGTTCATATAAGCAAAATATAATGACAAAAAAAGAAAATGCGACACTCCCGCACCTTCCACAGCCTGCAAACATCAGCAGCACTGAATACCCACCTTCAGCGTTTATACTCAACTCCGTTGAGTTTTCCTCTGCTGTGGCATATGGATTATTTCCAACCATTGGCACCAGGCAGTCCGTGTAGAAGTAACCAACTTTAGTCATGTTGAGAGTGGAAATCACGAGATCTATGGCCAGTTGACCAACATTTCCCACCGACACTGCTGGCTGAAGTAACAGAAATCACTGAATCATGTTGCGTTTTATGGACAACACAATATGCTGTTCAAATAGTGAAAGTTTAAACTACTTCAGTTCCGGTCAGACATGATCTCTGAAGGTATTTATTGTCAATTACTGAATTGTTCTTATCTCAACCCACGAGGCTCCTTGTCTTTTCCTCCAATTCTCCTCCCCATCCCGCTGGGAGAGGGGGAGGTGAGCGAGCGGCTGCGTGGTGCTTCATTGCTGGCTGAGGATAATCCATGTCACAAGGTAGATAAACCTCACTCAAACGGCTAAGGCTGAGATTGGCAGCCCTGGAGTGACATCTAACGGTAATGTTGATTTTACATACCAAACCTATAAATCTCAGATTGACCCATCTGTGAAAGTAGGTAGGTCTCCGGTTTTTTTAAGGATGGAAATGCTAAGGGTCAGCTGTGGAAACACGGAATTTGACACTACTAAAAGAGGCGGTGACAGCACTTCCAGCCTTCCGTCCCAAGCCGGCCGTAGCCAACAACCAGCACTTCCAGCCCCGGCAGAGCGCAGCGCTCCGCGGCCGGCGGCTCTTCCGCTGCCGGGGAACAACTTCCGCTGTGGCCTGCGCCGCCCCGGCGGCGGGGGGACCCCTCAGTGACACGGTAAGGGGCTCCCGACAGCGCAAGGAGCAAGGTTTGCTACCTGGCAGCTCTCCTGAGAACTCCCCCCCCACCCCCTTAACCGATGTGACCTCCGGTGGGTTCTCTGAAGCCGATGTCAGACCACGTTCGAAGGTGACCGAATCGCTTCCGAACTGGAGTTTAAATATACCGCGGATGAGGAATGTTTGATTGACTTTTTATCCCAGTCCCAACCCACAGATACTGCAAGTTTCCTGAGACGTGTGGCATTTTAATCCTGGAGCGCAACCGTACAGCGGCAGCTCTGCACGCAGCGCTGAGCTTGACAAAGGCACAACACGGGGGGCTGGAGGGGGCGGAAACCAGCGGAAAGGGAAGAGATCGCCTTAA